AAAATTACTCCTCGTCTTGTGCTGCAAGTGCACCTGAATTCAACTTACCATTCAGTTACTTCACAGCCTATTCCCTAGACCCCTTAGGGCCAAATGGAAAGGTCCAAAAAATCTCCTATTTAGACTAAACAGCTCCAGGCATAAACACCTTAGTTATTAGTTAGCTATGAAAGGCAGAATGTAAGCCCTAGAGCAAGAGTTCTTCTGTCTGAGAGTGCCCTTAAGTAAGAGGCTATGGGTCAACTCCTAAAACTTTATGACAAATTGTGCATGTGTGTGCCCTTTTTTTTCAAAGTTTGTCCAAAATCTTCATCAGCTTCCCAAAGGATTCCAAGAGAAATCCCAAAAGAAACACAGTCAATAAAGGTCTCACAGCTAGAGAGCTTTCAAGCATCTGTAATTGACAGTGGGAGATGGGAGGTCAAGGGGGAAATTCAGAAGGCTTTCCTGCTGGGGCTACCCTGCCACCAACCAGGTTTCTAACCTTAAGAACATCTTATCCCTCCATTTCTTAATCTGGAAGGTGAGGATGTTGGAGCTGAATGGTCACTTAGCTACCCTTAAAAATACCAGGATCAGGAGGCACGGCTTCAAGGAACACAGGAAAAGATGTCAAAAAGGCCTGCACAGAATCCGGCCTGTTCCCAGAACAGCTGCTTAAAATATTCACTGCTGCTTTCCTCAGAGGGTCAATGACAGAAGCCACCTCTCATTCCCTTCTTTCTTCCATTTCAGAAAGCCGAATGTGAAGTGTCACAATAATACCCTTTGAAGGGATTTGAACTATGAAATTCATGCAGAACTACAGTGATTCTGTAAGGATGCATAGGAAGCTCAAAGAATGTAAAATAGAAGGAATTTCTCTCAAGCCTCATTATCAGTCATCTAATCACGGCAGCCACCTATTTTAGCTGGTGTCATCTACACCTGTTAATATATGTAACTGATGACAATTACTTATGGGTGTCATAAAAATGGATGTTTTAATATACTCCTGGAATTTTGAACAAAAATACTAGTCTCTTACAAGAGAAAAGTGTTTTTCTTCATTCCATGTCACTCTCTATACTTTTCATAATAAACGTCTGATTTTCACAAATCAGGTAAGATGAAAGTCCTCAACCATTTAACGCTAAACCTTTGTCATTACATAAGGCTAGCTTTCATTTAAAAAAAAGTCACTTTTTTTAAGTTGGCACACTTGTATATACTCTAGTATCCTAACTCAGCCATAAACTTTCAATCTAATTATCAGACCCCATAAGTCCAAAGCAAATTTACATGTGGTTACTTGTGGCAGCAAATTAAATTGAAGCTTTTTCACAGGCACTTGCTAATAAAAAAGAGAAGTAGATGAAAATTGATCATGTTTTTACACGCCATGACCAAATGAATGCTCCGTCTAAAACCCATTCCCCGAAAGGATAAACTAATGTTCAAGGCAAGGCATCAAAAGTCACACGATGAGTGAGTATGAGAAGCCAAACTCAGGTGACTTCTACAGACCTAACTTCACTATCGCCTCCTTCTCTACAGCCCTGGAGAGATCAGCATTGGATCTGAGAAGCTCTGCATCTCACATATGCAAGGCTAACAGAAAACATCAGTGTAGGTAGCGCAGTAGTTACTGTTACTCCAGAGCAAGAGGCATTGCTTCCTAGGAGTGTTCTCACAACATTTCAGGGCTCATTCTTCAGCCTCATATGTTTCGAAAATAATGGATCAAAAATACCAGTCTCTTACAAGAGAAAAGTGTTTTTCTTCATTCTATATTGCTCTATACTTTTCATAATAAACGTCTGATTTTCACGAAAGCGCAGGTAAGATGAAAGCCCTCAACCATTTAACACTAAATCTTTATCATTACATAAGGCTAACTTTCACTAAAAAAAAAAAACATAACTTTTTATTTAACTGGCAATCATGTGTGCAAGTACCATTTCTCAAAGATGCAGGGTTGTGATCACCCAAGGAGAGGAAGGAGTTAAAGCTCCATGGAGACCGGGCTAATGCATATGAACATTCTGCAGCAGCACCCTGTCCTATTAACAAGGTTAGGACTGGAAAGTGTGCACAGGAGAACAGGAAGAAAGTCCACAAGTGACTCCTGCTCAAGAAATCCCTTCTCGGGAGAAAGAACAGACTTGCTGTCCTAACTAAATGCCACTTTTCTGATGAGACTCGAAACTGAGGTCCTGACCCCTTGTGGTCTTTAATCATAAACCAAAACAAGGGTGTGGGTGTCAGATTTCCTGGCCCAATCACAAAGAGGTCAAAAATTAAATGTAACTGGCAAAAATTAAAGTTTCTAGGAAACTAACCCCTCCTTCCTTTATTACCAATCTCTAGAAAAAGCTTCATCAGAGGCTGTAGAGATTTAATATTTACCAGTATTTTGGGAGTAAGGGGGTAAAGAAGGGAGGGGTTGTTTTATTGGATTGACAGTGTTTCCCAAATAAATGTGTAATTCAAATTTCCTAAGGTGAGATCTTAGCTACAGCTGGAGGAAGGACAACCCCTATAATCCTCCTACAAAATTCAGGGAGACTTGCTGTAGAAGACACTGAAAAGTTAGATTTCATCTTGACTAGTACTCCACCATCAGCCAGACAAAGAAATTCCTGAAAGGCTCTAAGCACTTTTTTTTCCCTTACAAGCACCCACAGAAATAGGTCAATGTTAACGTCGAGTAAACAAAGCAGCTCATTACTAACCACAGTCTGTTCCTTTTGTGACAAAATTTTAATCCATTTCAACTGCACCCAACTATCACACATAACACTGTCCCCGAAGAGGAGTAAAATGTGAATTCCTAACTGACCCCAGCCTCAGGCTTTTCGTATGTTTGAAAGGCAAGGTGTTGGGAGCTGGGGAGTCTGAGTGTTGGATACTTTCTCCTTCACTGTCTATGATCCAGGACAGGAGGACTTTAATTTCACTTCCAATCACTCCTCCAGAGGCCCCGTGTCTGAGGAAATCCACAGACAACAATCAAACCTTTCATTTCAGGGCCTCGTTCCCACCATACCCCTTTCTGTTCCAATCTGGTTTACAAAGCGTTTCCCCTATTCTACATTTCATGAATCAACTGCAAAATCAGCCAACCTCTGCCAGTTCCTCTTGTACTCAGCTGAGAGGTTCCCCTTCCTTCCGTGGGTAGCACAAGGCTGCTCTGGTTTTTAACTGGCGCAACGTGGAAATGCACTGTAGGAACTCACTAACTCTTTCACAGCCAGATAGAAGTGAGGCTGGGGCGCTGACACCATCTACTAAGAAACTGCCCCGCCAAGCTCAGGTTAAAAGCAGATTTGTGGAGACTAGCGTTGACCCCAATTCCAATGTGTCAGTTTCTGTCACCCAGAAGGAAAAGGAAGAGTGGGAAGGGCTACAAAGTAAGCAACTCAGTTACTTAGCAACTGGACAAAACTTGCCTCACTACAGAGGGTAAGGAGGCATCACAAACCCATTCAAAGAGTAACAGTCTCAATTTGCATGCAAATGGATAAAGACAAAACGGAGTGGGAAATCTAAATTAGCAACAGGAGTTTACAGTAGCGGGGCTGAGACCCAGATTTTAAAAACAGCTTCTGCTGGGAAGGGACTGTATATGTACATACAAGCAAATAGATATGAATAAATGAATGAATGAAAGGAAGGGAATGAAGAAAGACAGATCACAGGCTCTAACAACTTACACTCCCCCTTCATAAAAGCCAATACCATGGAGGGTAGGGAAGAGACAGCACACAAAGTTGAGTAGCTAAAATCAAAACACCTCCACTGCTAACACATATTTAAAGCTCATGGAAAGATGACCATTGCAGGCTGGGAAAATCCAGGGAAAGCAGTTCCCCCTGCTTGTGAGAAAAGCAAATAAAGCATCAATCTTGGGGAAAGGTCTCCAGACTTTGGGTGGATTCAGTGCCTCTCCGGGTCTTGACCCTCGCCCCCAGCACCCACTGGTGAAGCGCAGTTTCCCAGCTCTCAGATCAAACCCACACCCTTCAAAGGAGACACACGGGCCTGAAGATTTTCTAAGCAAGAGGGAGACATGTCACCTACTTGGCCCAGGGGAGTGCTCCAGGTTTTTCTGTGTGCTCCAGGAGCTCACATTCTGGGTCCCCAGCTCCTAGCCACACACCTGAGCCAGGCTGCTTCCAGGAAGGAAGAGGACAGGGGGCTCCTCGGCCCCACCCCCAGCCTCCAGCCCCCAACCTCACACCTGGACAAGGTGGGCAGGGCCCAGGGCTGAGTCACAGAGGCCCAACAGCCCAGCCACTTACTTTTCATACTCGGTGTTGTCTCGGTCACAGCGAGAATCCTTGTGCTTTTGCCAGTCTTTGCCATGCTTGCAGGTTTTTTTGAATACCAGCATGTACTTCCTGAGAGGAGGGATAGTGTTAAACTTCAAAAACCCCCTCTCCCCTCCTGTCCTGGGATGATCCTTAGAAAAGAGGGGAATAGAAACATCAAAGTTGGGTCGGAAGTTTTCAGTACTAATGCTGGCTTTGGCCAGCATCGCCTGGCCGATGTCAAACCCCACGTCCTCGGTGTAGTCAGGCCAGGTGCCGGAATATAAATTAAAAATTAAATGATTCCTACCATTGTTCCACAAGTGGAGACTCTGCACTTTGGATCTCAGATTGTGCACATACTGAGGTGACAACTGGTCTCTGTCTAAAGTATCCAGGCTCAGGACAAAGAGGCACGCCTGGCTGGGGTCCGAGGTGTAGAACCTGGAGCCTTCGATGGCCGCTAGAATGTTTTGGTAACTTTCGGCGATTTTCTCCCCTTTTTGCTGCGGGTAGACGTAGACTTTGAAACCGTTTTTCTTGCAAAGGGTGAAATCGAAGCAGGACTCCATGCGGCACTTCTTGCCTTTGTAGATGCTGGAGTTGGCGTCTCGCTTCTGCCGAGGGGAGATGTGTACGATGGAATCCTCGTTTTCCAATTGATCCCAAGGAACGAAGGGGCGCAGAGCGTCCGGGAAGCGCGGCCAGAAATGATCCGGACTCGGGTGGTGCAAGCCATTCCGACCGCTGTGCTCTTCTCTCCGGCTCCTCGATGCCCTAAACTGCAAGCCTCCGAAATAAAACAAAAGGGCGAGACAAGAGCCAGCTGAGAGCAGGATGAAATAGCGTTTTTTGGCCTGCATGTGTCCTGCCTGGGTCAAGAGGATTGTAAATAAACACAAGAATCACCCAAGTTTCCCAATCAACACTTTCAGCTCCAGTCCGCCATCTTCCCGCCTGTAAAGACTTCAAACTCTCCGCTCCCACCTTCTCTGGATGCCTTTCCCCAAGCCGTGGACTGATCCAGCGCATGTGGGCGATTTCTTTAACTTTCTCCCCTTCGGTCTTTCATCTTTGGGTTGCACAATGGACGGGAGAGAGCGGGGCTGAATATCTCGCACCCAGGGCGGGCGAGCAGCGGACTGTAATTTTCTTGCATGCAACAAGACGGGAGGAAAAGAAAGGGGAGAAAAAGCTCCCGATGCCCAATCAATGGCAAGACGAAGTGATTCCCTGGCCTCTCGGGTTCCTCTCGGCGGCGTGGAGAACCAGCCCTGGGAAAGCAACTTCAAGTCCCCCACGCTCCCGTGCAGAGCACGCCGGTTCCAACAAGTCAGCCGGTGCCCGGGCTCCGCCGGCTAGTGCATCTTGCAGCCGAGGCGCCGTAACCTCACAAATCCCTGCATCTCTCTTTATTCCCTTCTGCAGCGGCTCTGAGACTCCGGCGGTGTTTACTCCG